TCGTAGTAGTAGTAGTCGTCTTCGTCGTAGTAGTAGTAGTCGTAGTAGTAGTAATAGTAGTAGTAGTAGTAGTAGTAGTAGTAGTAGTAGTAGTAGTGGTGGTAGTAGTAGTAGTAGTAGTAGTAGTAGTAGTAGTCGTAGTAGTAGTAGTTGTAGTAGTAGTAGTAACAAAAATAATACGAGGAAACAAATTATTAAAAATAAGGGGAAGATGCGGAGGATGAGGATGAGGATGAGGAGGAGGAGGAGGTTGAAAAGGATGAGGAAGATGAGGCGGAGGAGGAGGAAGAGGAAGAGGAGGAGGAGGAGGAAGAAGTGGAGGAGGAAACGAGGAAACGGCGCCCGCCGCCGCGCGCGGGCGCGGCCGGGCCCCCCCCCCGGGGCCTGGGGGCCGGCTGCGGTGGCGTGGCCGCGGCCGTCGTTGCCGCCGCCGCCGAAGCGGAAGAGCGAGGAGTGAGGGAAGAGCCGGGTTCCCCCCTCTCCTGCTCATCATCCTCCCCGCTGTGCGCACGCAGCGACTGTCATGCCACCGTCAATCACCACCAGCACTTCCTCCCTCCTCCCTCATCCTCCTCCTCTTCTTTCTCGTCCTCCTCCTTATCTCTCTTCCTCCTCCTCCTCCCTTGTCCTCCACCTCCTCCCTTCTCCTCCTCCTCTTTCTCCTCCTCCTCCTCCTCCTCCTCGTCATCCTCCATTCTTCTTCCTCATGAGTAGCTCCCTCCTGTCGCACCCCGGGGCTAGTCGGAACGGCGGGCCAGGCGTTTCGTCTGAGACTTCATTACCACTTATTTGCCTGAAGCTTAGAAACTGGCGACAGCTTCGCAAATGGAGGGCGAGTCGTTTTCGAAATGTGGCTCTCGCACTAGCACCGCGCGCATTCGATTTAAAAGTGCGCACGAGCTTCGCGGATTGAAGGCGGGCGGTTTTCAAAATGTGGTTCTTACTTAGCGCCGCGCACATTCGCTCTAACATTTTGCCAGAGCTTCACGGATTGAGGACGAATGGTTTTCAAAATGTGGTTCCCGCCTCAGCACCGCACACACTCGTCTTAAACATTTGACATTTAGCGCCGCGCGCATTCGCTTTTTTGTTGCAAGAGTTTCGCATTTTCTTATGGTTAACCTTACAACATCTTCGTTTTCGAATGATTCAGGATTGTCAGGGCGCAACAGCTACGTTGATTCGAAATATTAAACAGTCACAGGAATGGCGTTCTGGCGCGATTTCCAGGAACGTCAAGACGCCAATCAGGTTGACTCGTGGCGCTCAAGTCCTGAGAATGGTGTTTTGGCACGCTTCACGATTTTCGCACGGTCGTCTCCCAACGGGGCAGCCCCTCAGTGAAGCGGGCCCTTGTATGTGGCCTGCGAGGAGGAAGCTTGGAGGGAGGGGGTATCCCAAGATCGTTGATGAGCCTTGGGTTTACACTGGTCCTGCTCCTCCTCCTCCTCTTCCTCTTCCCCCTTGTCCTCCTCTTCTGTCCCCCCCTCTTCCCCCCTCCTCGACGATGGCGCCCAGGCGGGAAGTGGAGGGCGCGTCGCGCCGCGCGGGGGCTTCTGGAGTTCCTCCCCGCCCTGGCGCCAAGCCCTGCTGGCCGCCATGAAGCAGACGTTCTGTGGCAACTCATGGGGGCCTCCCATGTTCTCTTGCTTGTTCTTGCGAATCGGCGCCAACTGACGCTAACCGACGCTCATCGACGCCAAACCAGCGTTTTCTCATAGATCACATGCGCAAGCGCACCATAATGCACTCTGAAGACGCACTTTCGGCCACTCGACGGTTTCGGATACCATTTCGGGCGCCTTTTCCGTCGCTGCTTTCTGTCGCTCGACAGCCTTTCCGGCCGATCGGGGCCCGGCGACATGACAAACGACTCCTGAGGGAAACGGGCCCCGAGGTTTCTCATCGTCCTCCTCGTCCTCCTCGTCCTCCTCGTCCTCCTCGTCGTCCTCGTCCTCCTCCTCCTCCTCCTCCTCCTCCTCCTCCTCCTCCTACTCCTCCTCCCTTGGCCCTGCGGCCCTGCCCTTGGCGGCGAGCCTGTGGGGGGAAGGCAAAGGATGCGGCGCTTCTCGGAAGGCTCAGAAGGCCCCCGGCCCCTGCGGAGCCCGGCCTCGGCGCAAGCCTGGAGGGTCGTGGGCCCACCGCTTCTCCACGGGATCTCACCCATCTGGGCCTAGCAGAAAGGGGGGAGATCCCGTAAAAACACGGTGGGCCCGCGACCCTCAAGCTCACGGTCGGCCTCGGCGCAAGCTTGGAGGGTCGTGGGCCCACCGTTTTTTTTACGGGATCTCACCCATCTGGGCAAAACAAAAACGGCTTCTCGAAGGCGCGAGGGTTTCCGAAACGCCCCGCCACCCTCTGAGAAGGCCCTTCCCCCCCGGGCCCGCCGCCGATCCCAGGGCCCCAGGACCGCCAAGAGACGGCTGCGGAGGAAGGGCTGGTTGGGGGGGAGGGGGCCCAGGACCCGTTTCCCTCGGGACCCGCTTGCTTCACGCCACGCTGGCCGCTTCCAGCGGGGGCTCGCCAAGAGAGAAGAAGGCAGAGGGACCTGCGGGTGGCAGGCAACACTGCGCAAAGGCAGCTCCCAACCTCGAAGTTCGAATTCCTTTTGGGTTACTTTACCAACATTCCTTCCAGCTCCAGGATGCTTTCCGACCGCTGCGCCTCGCCGAAACCTTCCCAGGGCTGCCCGAGACGTGCCAATCGGCCGCTGGGGACCTCGCGCCGTGTTGAAAATCACGAAGCAAGGTTTCTGGCCATTTTTTGGCCTCGGGGGCCCTGACCCCAAACTAGGGCGGACATCGGCTTCGAAGGAGCCCGAAAAGCAGGGCGGAAACTCCTGCCCTACTTGCAGAATCGCCCAGAGTAAGGCGGGTCTGGAGTCAGGGTAAGAGGTTTCGAAACACTTTTGGCCTCAAGGGGCCCTGACACGGCCCCGAAGTGCTGAGCAAAAATGCTGGCGGAAAAACCTGGTTCCGAAGAGTGAGTCGAAACTTCCTCGGGGCCCACGCTGCGAGAAATTCGCGACTTCGGGGGTCTGGGTTCAACGCAGCCGCAACCTCGAAAATAGGTGCTCGACCCTCTGGATTCTTATCCTCCTCCTCCCCCTCCCCCTCCCTCTCCTACTTCTCCCCCTCCCCCTCCCTCTCCTCCTTCTCTCCCCTCCCCTTCCCCTCCCCCTCCCCCTCCTCCTCCTCCCTCCTCCTCCTCCTCCCTCTCCTCCCTCCTCCTCCTCTCCTCCTCCTCCTCTTGATTTCCAGATCTCCATCACGGGCGGCCGAGTGCGGGGGCACTCGGACGCCGCCAGTTCATGTTCAGCGCCCGCGCCGCAGCGGCGGCGGGCGCAGCTCAGCCCAGCGACTCAACCATGAAGTGCGACCCCACGTTTGAGTCGCAGGGCTTCCCATGCCCGAAGGAGACAGACCGCCTCAAAGAACACCAGGCCGAAGTCCCGGCACATGTTTGATGCTCTGGGCTTCCCATGCCCGCAGAAAAGGACAACCTCCGCGAACACGACGCCGAGGGCCCAGCACATGCACGGGTGAGACTGGGTTTCCCATGCCCGCGTTTCCCCTCGTCCCCCCTTCTCCTCCTCCTCCTCCTCCTCCTCCTCCTCCTCCCTCCTCCCTCCTCCTCCTCTTCCCTCCCCTGCACGGACTCTGCCCGAGGTGCCGACGGGCCCACGGCTCTGGACGCTTCGGTGTCCCTCCTCTGGGCTTCCGGGGGCCTCTGGGCCTTCTGGAGGCCTCGGGGGACCTCGGGGATCAGAGTCTGGCATACTACAGTCGGGGCCTTGACCTAAGGAACCCTTTTCGTTGGGGAGGGGCTCCGCGTTCCTTACGTGTTTCACAGCTTGCCTCAGGTTTTCCTTATGTTTTCGATCGGAAATCGAAGTTTAATTTATGGTAAAAGGGGGCCTCGACGGTTGAAAAG